TCTTCGAAGATAGGACAATGCACGCCACTCCAAATGCACCACAAAGCAAGGGGAGGCCGACCGAATGAACAACCTTTTGGACCTTAACAAGTTTCCCTAGCACCGGCCATTGCACGACCGTGATGGCGGGACGGCATCCACGGAGATGGATTTGAAGGCAATATCCGAACCACTGAACTTTTGATAGGTGTTTGAACTCACCCACCGACATCCTGTCCCAACCCTCGAACTTTCACCTACGCAAACTCATCTAATGTGGTGGGAGAGGGTCTGGACTAGATTTATCCACGAGACATACACCTCACTTCTTGTGTGGCTTTATCAAGTTGTCTATCTGTGATGGCCGATGTGTTGTTTCGTGAGACGATGGTTGCAAAGTAGACAAATTTGGTGGGCTAATCGTGTGCGACCGGTGGCGTCCCAGGAAAGCCATNTCGCAGACATTCGATCAGGCACCATGGAGGCTCCGTCTCTTGCCGCTCTCTCTGTCGCTCTCTCAGTAACCACAAAGGGCGAGTGTATGATCATGGTGGCAAGGATACGCCCGGGAATGTCGCGCGAAAGCAAAATCAATGAAAATACAGTAAAGTGGGGAAACGATTATTGTATGGACATTGATTTAAGAGAAATGTATATATCGGACTCTTCTTGTAGAGAAATATTGAATCAACTCGTCCAGCGCCGCGACGAGTGGAGTGTGGTCATGAGAAGTATTGCGCATATCGTTTCACTCTTGCCTGGTGTTCGTGCGATTCAGGAGGGCCGGCGAAAGACGAGAGTCTTGATTCGTGGAGGGCAAGACTGCGGCAGCAGAAGCAGGCAGCTGAACGCGAAGACCCAACAGCGGAAAACCCCGCCGCACGCACCAGTTCCTCGACACAGGGCGACAAGCCTGGGAAGCCAGATGGAGCTACCACTGAACCCATACCTGGTTCGTCACGGAAAGTGGACCACATGACTCAGGCTCAGGTCTCTTCCTTTTCGGCGTTGAGCACGCTATGTGGAGGGAGTCGTAGCAGCCTGGAGCAGGTTAGACAGCTTGTTGAAGCACTGGGCATCAATCGCTCTTCTCCTGGCACGGGACTTGGCGAGACGGCTACGCTCGGGGAGCTGAACAGGCTGGTGGCAATGGCCGAAGATTTAGACGACATTGTGGTGAGCGTTGCACTGTCGTCTAGGGATCCCTCGGCCCAAACCAAGAACGGTTAAGGGCGTGGTGGACGCACTTAGCCGACTTTTTATATGGTACACCTTTTGTACTAACCTGGAAGACTTCCCTTTTTGCAAGTATCTTTGTGCCGATGGCCCTTCCCACACGCACATGGATCGCATTCCTCCTGCTTCCCTAACGATGTTTTCGCCCAACGTACCTGCAACCGGCGATGTGTTGTGTGAGTGCACAGTCGAGACACGTGATGAATGAAGCCATACAACGAAGGGAGCTAGCGTTGCCCCCAGGTCCCAAGGCATACTACATGGCAATCCGAACTGGTCTATGCAACGCCTACCTCGCAGCCAGCGTCGTCTGCAGTAGCTTGGTTTGCACAAGCAAAACCGGTCGCATGGGTACGGTGAGTGCCGCCGCCGCTATGCTTCCGCATGTTGCCGCATTTGGGCTTGTATTGTTTCATATCTGTGTCTCAATACCCGCCCTGTTGCTTTGCATGAATGTCAATCGGAGCTCGTTGTTCTGTTTCCTCGTGTAGGCAGGGAAGACCTTAGAGTTTCTGTCGAGCGCGGTGCCTGTGGTCAGTGGGCTTGCGGGCTTGGCTGCCGCAGCTTTGAATGCGGGAGACCGCTATCTGCAAACTCGACGAGTGTCGAAGGTGAGCTTGTTTCACGTGTACGGTGCCTCGGAGGTTCTACGTAAGACGCGCCGGCCCCTTGGCTGGTGCTATCGTCGACACTGACGCACCCACGACGTTTCGGATACTCTGGCAGATCTGCGACATCGCGCCCGACTCGGCTGACTGTTGTTGGCTGGCGAGGACGTTGGCGTTGCAACTCTCGGATGGGTACGTGGACGGCACCCTCTCCACGACTGACACGGCTGAAGAACGTGGCACGCACACCACAGCAGGTATGGGTGGTGCTGAGGGTGAGGATCCACAGCGCAATTGGCATGTCCCTTGGCAGCCAATGCCGCTTTGCTGAGTCGGGTTTGTTGGATGGCTGAGCCCGCCATCCTTCAACATTGTGTACGTACGCACCAACTTGCTTGTGGGCAATTGTGTTAATGGAACCCCAACGGTATTTGTAGAAATACATTTACCCTCAGCGCCATGGTGTTTGGCTCAACTTTGTGCGGTGGGTACGTGGTTTACGAAACCATCCGCTCGACGTTGCCCTGTTGAAGATAGTAGACGATCCAGAGCGCTGTAATTCCACCACCTTAATGTTCGGTGCACCCAGCCCCCATTCGGTGTCTGGCCGTCCATTGATACATATGTTCGGCGTTTATATGGCAAAATAATAGTGAGGGTACTCTTGGGGTCTTGTCGCGACACCCGTCGAACCCACCGTGAGCCCTATTACGAGGGTATTGCCACGGCCTCAGGCACCTGCAACAAGTTTTAAGTGGGATGAGTATTCCAATACAACGTTGAGATCTTGTGCTCGGGCGGGGTACCGTGGGTTGTTTGGTACAGGCGGGGGCGGATGGAGCCAAGATATTGGCGCCTCGCCAGATTCTGCGACCGAGGAAGCCGTCATGGACTGGTTTGTCGAAGAAGTGGCGGACTACGAGCCGAACAACCTCGACGCAAGGAAAACGACTCCTGCCGTACAGGTATACGAAGACCTCTGAGAGCTCTATTTCCGTCGAAGCCTTTGTGTTTCCAGTCCTGCTTGACGAACATGATGACATGGACAGCAGCCATCTTGCACGGCGTATTTTCGCCAGCTACGAGATCCCCACCGCTCTTTCTTTTCGCCGCCGTATTTTCCAGGCTGGGAGGAAGGTTGGGAAAAGGCATCTCCAGACTCTTCTAAAGGCAGTTGGGCGGGATTGCCTCCGCGGCACAAACACTGCTGACGAGAAGGTAAAGTACAGATTTGGTTAGACGCTATTCTACAGCCGGGAAGAACGGTAGCAAGACATGAAATAGAACGGGTAACTATGTTGGCGCGTGCTTGGCGCTTTACATGCGAGGAATCCAAACACCGCCTGTATCCGTGATTTCCTTTGTGCCGTGAGTTTAGGAACGTTTTTGGTACGGCCGCCCCCACGTGTCTGATGTTTTTTCGCCGACCGTCTCGAGTTCCTACTAGGTGTTTCGTGTAGATTCCGTATGCGTTGTGTACTCAGGCGACCTTCGCCGCCTTTTCCGGGTCAACCTATGTGGCCGGGTTACACGAAAACCAGCGCAGTTCCAGAAAACAGCAAGAAAAACGTTGGTTGATTCCCCTCTTGTGGTTGGAGCCGTTCACTTACACTGCTGTCATACGTGATATATCAAGCAACTCCCACCCTTGTGCATTGCTTCGGAGAGATTCCCAAGTGAACCTATACAGATTTCTCTTCGCCCAAGGGACAAGGAGTTCGGCGACTAGCTTGTGGTACTGTCGGTGTATCAAGCAGACACTCGGACTCGCTCATTCAGCGTCACACACTCGCGGTATTTTGTCACGGGAACAATATCTAATGGAAATGAACGCGTTGATGAAACATGATGCATCCCCAGGTGAAGGTTCTTGTCGGGATTATACTCCCAGAGGCCGAGCGGAAAGTTGGTTCGACATCTCACGGCACGCAGGAGCGTGCCAATCACGACGCTAGCTCCGCCCATCCAGCTTCACGGCAGTCGCATGCTGCAGCTACTCGTCCAGCCGTTCCTGACGGTGCTGCCAAGAGTAATATTGACGTGCCAGCGTTGATGGAGCGCATGGCTTCCATGCGCATTCGTACGGAAGCAAGGCACGAAGAGCTTAAAGCCGGCCTGGAAGCTTCTCATGCGAAACATGTCGAGCTTGAATCTGGTCTAGAAGCTGCGAAAGAAGAGAACGCCAGGCTTAAAGACGGTTTGGAAGAGGCAAATGCAAAAAACGCCAAGCTGGAGTCTGAGGTACGGTGAATGTGCTATACAGCAGTATACAGTAGGTTCAGAAACCTCTCTTCATCATTTATTTGCCGATCGAGAAGCTCACCATCAAGCATGCACACGGTCGTTCAGTAGTTCCACCGTCGTGGAACGTAGCTCGTCAGAACCATGCGATGTTCAGTTGCCGATGTCTACGTTTGACACCAGCATGCTGCATGCCGCCGCGTTTGGTTTCCAGATGAAAATCCTGAACAAAATGGTGACGAAAACTGGGCCGGACTCGGATAGCTTGGTGCCCAGCGGTAAGTGTGATGGCCAGCTGGATGCAAAGTGAGCGACGTTGTGACATTTTCCCGTTGTGTGCCTAATCTTCTGTAGTGAAATGAAGCCTCATCCTACGCCAGCATTCAACACGTACTTGACCCACACGTGGCGCTACCGCACGCAATGCCATGTTCGGGTGCAATCCACGACCATCGACAGGGGGGGGGCTGGCTTTAAAGCAGCGGCAAGCTGTCGTCACCGAGACGGTGGACGACTTTCTCGAGAGGGCTCAAGAGAGAGGTAAATTCCCAATCTTCTGCACCGGGCTCGAGGTGGCGACCCTTCGAGTTGTTCTGCGCTGGCATGCCCGGTGGTAACTGCGTCGAAGCATGANCACCGGGCTCGAGGTGGCGACCCTTCGAGTTGTTCTGCGCTGGCATGCCTGTGTGGTAACTGCGTCGAAGCATTAATGCCAAAGGAGCGTTTGTTTTTTGTCCAGACACGACCAAGTGAAGCAGAAAAATATCTACCCGTTGCTTTGGAGGAGCAAACGACGGGCTTGCACGGACAATTTCGTGCATAGATGCGTTCGTGTCTGAGTGAAGATTCATTCGTCTCAGCTCAACTGGCGTCTAATCCTGACCTCATCAAATGCTTGGTACAGGCGTCGCCCTATTTTTCTAGCCCTCTCCCCTCATAACGGATAGTACCCTTACGCGCGAGCATTCAGTAGTTTGGTTGCTCTGTTTTGCATGGTGCCTTCTCACGTAGAACGCTTCGCCGGCGAAAACGCGTCCTAGCCACTTGCCTGGTTGGAGTCTACTTTGCCCCCCTATCTCACCAAACACGCTCTCCCCGTCACACGTTCGGAAATTGAGACGCTCATGCCAAAGACGTCGATTTCGCTCTCTCGCTTGCTCCGCTATGTTGTGTGTGCCTACTCGACGGGGTATTTGTACATCAGCGCCGGCGGCGGGCAATGATGTGGTGACCCTGGAGCAGCTGGCAGAGGCCGTGGAACCCCTGAAGGAAGTGCATAGCAAGTACAATGAGCTGCATCGCGAGCATGATGCCAAGCTGGGCCGTTTTCAGAGGGCAGTCGACAGCATTACCCGCAAATGTACGTCAGAATTGTGTTCACGACCACTAGATATGCGTCTCTTTTCTATAGTGATCGAGAACTACCAAGCTCAGCATTCGCATGCTTTCATTTGGGCCTCGCCTCGTGAGCAACTTCGGGCAAAAGTCGTTCCACAGGCTTTCCGCTATCTCTTACGTGCGGAGGAAATATGCTCCGCTGTTGTCGTGACTTTGCGGCAAGGCAAAGGTTCATTTCAAACTCGGTATTTTCAAGGTTCATGTCATACTAGGCCCCGCCTCTCTCCGTTGCGCAATTTTCTCACTCACAGGCGTATTATCGGCGCGCAAACCGGGCCGCGTGGAATCATTTGTCTCTGATGGTGTTCGAGCGTTTTGTCTCGACCGGATGTCGTAGTTGGACTTATTTGGTGAACATGGTCACCTTGACCAGTCGAAGTGTTTTCGTGTGTTGTTGTGGTTTGTTTGATGGGTGCTTGGTCATCCCGGCGAGCTTGGCGTTCACTTGTGTGCCCAAACGCTTGGTGCCGTTTTCGTGTTTTCACGTCGCGATACCCCACCTGTTCTGGCTTAGTTGCACAACTAAGCCGCTGAACATTCTCCTTCGCATTTTCGCTTGAGACCCTCGTGCCACTTAAGTTGATGTGTGCCTTGCCTCGTTTTTACTGTGTACGGTTGGGAACTTCATGGGGCGTTGCTTGCATCAGTGGCGGCTGTGAGTGATGACCTGGTGCCCCAGGACGAGCTGAGAGAGATATTGGCACTCCACGACGAGCTGCTTCGCGAACGTAGTGCTGACAACAGATAGCTTCAGAGGATGAGCGCCCACAACAACGAAACATATGTGAGTTTGATACTTGGGGATTTGGTTGAGGTTGAATCGACATACTTGTGGTTGGCAAGTTGATAATCGAACAGCAGAATGTGAGCTCGAATTTTTATCAGAAGTTGTGACGGCATCTTTTTTTTGTCACTTTTTATCTTTGCTCGCAGCATTATCGTAGGGAGCTCCAATCCATCGTCACAAAGAAGAGTTCATCTCCCTGAGGCCCCCTACCTACCCCTCCTGCTGTGCTTGCGATTTTTGATGCGAGAGGAGCGCAGTACTCTCTTCCCTGAAAGTGTGCAAGAGAACTTTTGTGCTGTATGTCACAGGACTCCACGTCAGAACACGGACGCTATCAACTTTGATCAACCTCCGTCGAGTTGTATCTGAAAGTATGAGCTACATCACCCATTGCACTACATCTGCGATCAAAAAAGAAAAGTTCTTCGATCAACGCGGATGAATCCTCGTGCACGTGTTGTTCCTATCGGTATTGAGCAATCATCACGGCCATTCCCAGCGATGCTGATCACTAATATACAGGAATGCACGTCCCTGCGCTCTGCCACATTGTACGGTTCGGCAGAACGCGGTATTCCTCTCGTTGGCGGGTTGTTGAAACGAATGTTTTTCGTGGCATTCGCCTTGTTTCGGCTCGGCCTCGCTGTACGAGCAGATCAGCGAATAACAGCACAGATATCGTGGCGCAGGTCCCTTGGGAGCCGATGTTCCATGCTCGCTTGTTCGCATGCAAGACCGATTGTTTTCTCGTACCTGACGCACGCTCACTGCGCGTTTACCTCAGCCATATCACCGCTCGCGCTCAACGGGTTGGACGAAAACGCCGCCTCTTTCGTTCAAGACTGACGCACCGTACGATGTCGACTGCCCGATATGCTTGTTCTCCCTGTACTGCATAGGTTGCTGTTTACGCACCATGGCAGGACAGGACTCGCACGACTCATACAAGTACACGTTGTTTTGACTCTGAGACTCTTATGCCGCAAACGGGTGTGACAAAAGTACGTCCACTACACACTAACATCGACCACCGCTACTGCTCCCACAACTGCGCCGTGCAGGGTTGCCTCGTTGTGTCTTCTGCTGCCGGTACCACTGTTCGGCAGCGTGCCGATGACCCTCCGCGTGCTTTCTACCAACCATCGAGCCGTGCATGACCGGAGCTTCGTCCGTTCGGCTGTGTGTGGTTTCGCGACCGGCGTGGCGACGAGGATTGATTGATTGATTGATTGATGCCCACGTCAAGGCATCGTAGTAGACGATACTGCCTTGAATTGTCGCCTTGAATCGAGCGCCGAGGACCTTCGGGGGAATGGTGCAGGTCTCTTGGCGACGAGGAGCTGAGATGTCCAAGGAGATTGGTTGCTGTGTCTTGTGGCGTATGCCATATCTAGGTCGGTGATGAATCACCTGCTTTGCAACTATTTCGCCTGATGATAGAGAGGCGAAAAGACGAGTCATGAACACGCCTCGTTGACTACAGGGCACAATAGCGTACAACGTCGTCTCACCAACACGGAGTTTGCCTCTTGGGGGATGCCATTCGGCTTCCAACCTCTTTTGCGTGCATATGGAGGGGCTATCGGGTATGCTTTGGCTTACCGTGGCCCCGATACACGTGTCGGCATTCCCGCTCGTAGTCATTGCATCTAGCCCTCCGGTGCTCATTTAATTTGTCATGATATCGCAGGCAGACGGTTGTCGTTCTCTTGAATATGTTTGTTGAAACGAACTACATTTGTTTCACGGTGGGTTGTAAGCTGGTCAGTCCATGATTCGCGAGGAAANGGTGGAGGTGTTTGTTCCGGGGATATACTGCTGTAGTGTCGCAGTTTCATGCCTGCGGTGTCGTCTGGTTGAAGGTGATATATATATATTGCATGTGGGTGCATTGGGACGCCCCCGCCCGGGAAGCAGGCGACAAGGCGACAAGGAAGGGTATGTGTTTCTCCTCAAGCACGGCGGATTTTGAATATTTTTCGGTCTGGCCAATACAGCAGCAGTGTGGTGACGTGCGAGATGTATTTAGGCCCAATCTCGCGCCGCGGGTGAGAACCATTATACCTCTGACACACGCAACAGCATGTAGCTGTTTCTCTATCGGGCAGCTTCAGTCCCGGGTAAGGCTGAAATCCGCTTCCAATTTCCCTGTCTTCTCAGGTCAGCCGGGCAAAATGTCCTGTGTGCACAACTGATTTTGAAACTCTGTCAATAGCGTCACACGCCTGGACATCTACAAGCAGCAAGATAACTTCAGCGTACAGGGTTCGGGGGCGACCCTTAAACAAGGCGTTCACACGTCGTGATGCGACGAAGGCGCACTTGTTGTGCGCACGGAGGGAGCCGTCGGAAGCCGTTACGACCGTTTCACGTTCTGTGCGGGGGAACGTGCTAAAGGTTCCTCATCTCTTCCCGGAACATTCCGCAGCATCGCATGTAGAGTGTGGCACCAGCGAGGCAAATGGGAAGAGGCCAACAACTTCACCCTGCACTTCTGCTGCTGTGTCGTATCCCGCAGTTTTGTCTTCGGGAAGGAGGTTGAGAAATGAGCTACAGCACTGGGTCAGGCGTGCAGCTACATACTCCGTGTCGAATCCCGTTGACTTGTGGCACATCCCCCTGTGCCTGCTTCTGTCGCATCTCGTCCGTCGCCGTTCACAGGAGAGGTGGGATTTAGTTCAGCAAGTAGGGTTATGGTTTTCCCGCAGTACAGAGACAGAGAATTGTAGAAGCGCCCGCCTCCCTGTCCCTGCCACCATGATTCGATCGAGTGCTCGCAGTTCAGGGGTTCACGACAAAGCCGTTGGCGGAGTCATCGGCTTGCTCCTTTTGCGTGTCGCTGCGGGTACGTACCAGACACTTTCGACTTCTCACATATGTTGGTGCATCTACAGCAATGCCCACATATCTAGCATCGCATCAACAAAACAACAACAAACATATCTAGCATCGCATCGCCCGCTCAACGCGAGCCTTGCCGACAACGAGAAGCAGGGCTGGCAAGAACTGCTACACCATTCGATGGCAAATCATCTCTCGCAGGAGCCCAGCTTGCCGTGGAGCCGATGAGACGCGGCTTGCCTCGCAGAGTTTGCCGCCGAGGCACACACTCAGACGCAGGCGCAGATCACAACTTGCGTTGTTCCGCGCGACTTTTCCACCCAAAGCGACTTGTTGTCCTCGCTGTTTGTTGGTTGGGCGTGTGCGACGAGCCAGGATTTCCGTGTACAAGTTAGTGGGTGTTACAGTTAGTAATTCAATCTTTCTCACTGCTTGTTGCATACCAGATTGTACAGAACACAACCCGTGTCGTTGTGACATGGTAGCGGAGTCATGCAAGGGAAGGTCTGTGTTTTGATTCGGCCGGCGTCAATGAACCGTCCGCTGCCCTGTGTAGTCTACGCTCAAATACTAGTATTCGACAAAGCTGCAACCCCGAGACGGTTTGAAAGTTTGCATGTGAGAAACGTATAGTCTCGAGTGACTGCTGTGCGACCTTGAGCCTTGCTCAGATACTGGTGAACCTCTGCAGTGTAGAGACCAAAGACCCAGCTGACAGACCCAGCCGACGCATTCATGCGCAAAGATTGTTCGCCCGAATAATAAATGGTACCTTTATCTCAAAGTACACTTGGAAGTAGGCGATATTTTCCGAGGTTTCGGGTCGTAGCATGTCTCCCATGTGTTATTTCTGGCGCAATCGCGTTGAGGTTGATGCTGACACCGCTTTTTATGGCAGCAAAATGTTGCAAAAAATGCTGCATTTCTGCAACTTTTCTTGCAGCTTTGCTTGATAAATAGAATTGTATAGTCTCGCTCAGTATCGGAGCTAAAAGGTGCACGAAAAGTTCTGCAACTTCTTAGTATGACACAACGAATCCATCACTAAGAAAAGAGTCCATGACAGATTAGCGATGAATCCAGAGCATAGTAAGGCTACCTGTGTTTCAATGATTTCCCGAGCAGCATACAGCGACATCTCCCTCGTGGGTAACAGGGTCAACAAGACAAGTAGTGTGTTTGCCGTTGTGCATCTATCTGCATGTTATGCTGGGAATGCACGGAAGGGAATGTGTCGGGTAGTTGGTTTGTCGGGTATGTTGTCGGTGGCACCCTTCCTTATGGAACTGTTCCAAGTTTGAGGTGTTTTGTTGTTGTTGTTGTTGTTTCTCACATTAGCTCTATAGTCCACAAAAAATGGGGAGCCCGTGATCTCAAAACCCGGCACATACGACGCCGCGGGGAAACATAACAAGAAAGGGTACAAACCACTCGGACGAAGAAAACAAAATGATAAGAAACAGAAGAACAGGTACCGCACCGACCATTCGAGAAAAGAGCCCTCGGAAACCGATCAAAATAAAACAAAAGTAAAGGAGGACGCTTCCCACACCCGCCTAAAGAAAAATCAACGGGTAACGTACCAGCATCAGGCACTACGCACCAGGGCATGGGAGTAACGGAGCAAACAGGACAAAGAGGCGGCAGATGGGCAGACAGCCAGATGTACAAAAACAAAAAGCAACAGCAAAAGCGAGATCAAGGTACCCAACACAGCAGAGTAGGCAGGGAGGACATGAAAAAACGGAACACAGCACAGAGGCCGAAGGCAATACACAGGACATGTGTAAAGGAATATAGCATTCAGAAGGGAGGGAAACAGGGCGCAACAACATTAGCCGGGTACATACATGGTAGTTTGCCACAACAAGTGCTGCCTCGGCCGCCCTACTCGCTTCTACAGCAGTGCCCGGTCGCCGTTTCTTGCCCCCCACCGCCGCTTCCCCGACTCTCTTTCTCTTCGATCCTGAGATGGCCGTACTCTCTGCTTCTGCTTCCCTCGCGCACTGGCGCTTCGCGGATTCCGCCTCCTGCCCGTGCCATTTCCTCATGAGCCATGCCGCCCCGTCCTCGACCTTGTTGTATATACCACACCTCCGGGTCGTTGGCGCTCTCTTTCCATTTCCCCCCTTCCTTTTCGTCTCCCATGTTGAAGGCCACGAGGTCCTCTCCTAGACGAGACACCCAGTCGCTCTCCTGCCCGCCCCGGTATCCCACGCCCCCCGCCATCGCTCCTACCAGCATGCGCTTGGGGAGGCGGTTGTC